CAGCTAGTTTGTCATGAGGCTGCTCAATAAATGTAATGACCCGTAAGGAAGTTAAGCTTCCGGCTTCACTCCATCTGTCTGCTGGGAGCTTCTCAGAGAGATGGAGAGAGGCTCCCAGGGGGAATGTCAGGCAAAGGTCAGGCTCTACACAGAGAACAACCCAACAGGCCACAGGGATCGGATGAGACTGGCGATTCCCTTGTCAAGCCTTCATTCTCAGGCTTGGCAGCCAGACAGCCCTCTGAGCTGTGCCAGCTTGTGGAGGTGAGCAAGAGCCAAATTTAAAACTACTAGAGTTATTTATAAAAATATCTTGCAGTTGTATAAGGTTTAGAGTTTACAAAATGCTTTTACATACCATGTGCCCAACAGTCTAACCTAGCAATATGATAGCCACTTAATAATTGTGTATAGCTACCACTTCACTGTGTCTGAGGCAACACTTGATGAAACAGATGCTATTCCCTCTATTTCACAAAGGACAAAAATAGGTTCTGAGGTTCTGAGCAGTTAAAATGTCTCTAAGTATGCCCAACTAGGGAGAGATCATTACAGCCATGTTCCATAACTCCAAGCTGCTTCTCATATTGAGATTTACTAGTTCATTTCAAAACGTACCAAAATGAAACACAGATGGGATGAAAGGATTTTTAATGGAGTATCTACTGCTTTGCCTTATGTATAATAGGTTCAATTAGCTTTTGTTGGACTAGTTCAAACATGCAACAATGAGTCCACAAGCACATGAAGAGGTAAAGAGACAGTGTTAAAACTGTAAAGACAAAATGATTTCCAGAAAAAATCCAAAAGCCAGAAAAGAGAAGCTGAACTTCATCATCAGGATTTTCATCTTACACCCCAGATCATGAATATGGACTTCCACTTGAGAAATGGGGAGTGGATTTGATGTGTATCAGATGAAGTTCTAGTACAGGACATGTTACTTAGGGTGTGCTGGAAGGCCTGAGGCTTTCTTTCATTTCAGCAACTAGTGCGGTTATAACCTCGGGCTTTGATATTATGGCTTTGGGCAGTTGTGCTCACTGTGGTATTAGGAAGAATGGTGCGGAGAGCCAGCCCCCAAGACATGGATCTTTTCCCTGGGATAGCGATGTCCTCTGGTTCATGACAACCGTCACTGTAGAAAACACGTCATTCAGGGTAGAAAAGCTTAAAGGGTAGAAAAGCTGACCTGCTGGAAGAGGGGCTAGAAAGGTACATTCAGTGTCAAAACACAGGAATATGGGGACACGGTGTGCTCAGTAATGGGACAGCTGGTGCTCAAGAGCTGGTGTCTGGTTACTGAGTTTTTCCTTTTGCAACTTTATTATAAAAATTGAAGGCACTGTCTTTTCACACAGGCCCAGAGTTCCTCACTTGACCTTTACTTGCATGGTTCTCTGTGTCCTTGAGATCCATGGCCTTTTAAGTGTTTGCCTTCTCTCTTTTTCCTCTGGCATTTGTTTCCCAAGGCCTTCCCCAGCTTCCCCATGTTCCCCTTTCCACTGCACACTCAGGGACTCAGAGTAAGTTTTCAAGGGTGCTACAAAAGCCCCATCCCCCTGGCAGCATGATTCCTTGCCAATTCACACTCTTAAGAGAACAGGAAAACTTCCTTTGTATCTCTCCAATCTGTATGTTTTTGTGTGTCTTGTAAATAATAATAATAATAATAAAAGTGGGAAAGTTCTAGCACAACCAGTATGACAATGTCAGAAGTTGGCAGAGCCAGCTGAATTTGTCTGGGTTTAAGGCCTGTAGGATTAGCAAAGGCAGCAAGCATTGTGCTGCCCTTGAAGCGGGGTCATCTGCTGTGAACAGTCTTATCAGCACAGCAAAACAAATAAATCATGTGCTGCTAGCACAAGAACCAAGAGCCTTCCCTCGAGCCAGATGATTCTGTTGTTTAGCTGGGCCTCCTCAGTGAGCTTGTTAACAGCATCACCTGTCAGGGAGAGAGAAGCTCCTCCTACACTTTTGTTTTCAGATTAATTTACATACCATAAAATTCACCCACTCGAAGAGTAAAATTCAATGACTATTTCTAGTAAATTTACCAAGTTGTGCAACTATCACCACAGTCCAATATAAGAACTCCAAAAAGATCCCTGTGCCCCACTGCAGTCAACCTTTGTTCCTGACCCCCAGCCCAGGAAACCACTAATCTGTTTTCTTTCTATTTTATATAAATGGAATCGTACAATAATGTCCTTTTGTGTCTGACTTATTTCACTAAATTTAATGTTTTGAGATTCATCCTTGTCATAGCATAGGGTAGTGTTCATTGTATAGAGATGCCATATTATGTTTATTTACCATCTGATGGACGTTTGAATTGTTTCCCATTTTTTTTGGCTATTATGAACAATCTGAATGAAATCCTGATCTGAGTGAGAAGTGAGGAGGTGGAAAGAGGTTGAGGTTTGGAGTCAGGAGTCCCAGTCAGTGCTAGCTCTGGCATTTGCTACCTTAGTTAACAGTACGATTGGTTTCTTTATCTATAGAGTGGAGGTAAGTAAGCCCTGTCCTGCTCTACTTCTAAAGTAGTTGTAAGAATCAAGTGAGATGGTGTATGGGGAATGCTTTGTGGACTGTAAGACACAGGACAAATGAAAGGCATTACTATTGGCGTTGTCTTTCTAGAATGTACTAAAATGCACTAGAAATGAAGTTAAATGAATTAAAATGAACTAAAATGAATTGAAAATGAAGAGAGGGTCTTCATACAATCTAGAATCACTGTAGGAAGTTAGACTCACTAAAATTAAGATATAGTCAGGGCATCCTCCAACCCACAGATGGTGAAGGGCAAGACCTTCACCTTCAAGTTGAGCTCAGCCTAAGAGGCTTCCAGTGAGTCAGACTCAAACAAAATACTATCCTCTGGTTCAAGGTCATTACAACTGTCACCTCGTTGAAATAATATTAAACTAATTGGGGTAACTACATTTTTAGGGGTCTTCAGACATTCAGGAATATAATTGTTAACCGCTGAATGCTATGTTTAATTATTTGACTTTCACAAAGCATAAAAAATAGGTTCCTTAAGCAGCCAGTGAAGATTTTGCTTCAGACAGAAAGAACTGGATACTGGTGGCTCACAACCAGTCAATCCTAAGGTGACTATCACAAAAGGGCTCTCCACACCTTCTATTTTACTCAATACTATGGGCTGCTTCTAAGTTTTATCTTTAATCTCACTGGGAGATCCGGGATGGAATGCTTCCAAGACAAGAGATATGCTGTTCCCGGTTTACTGGAATCTAAAGCACAGAATGTGAGTACCCATCAAGGGCCTCTCACGGAATCGCTGGCCTGTCCAACATTAGAACTCAGGCGCTCCCAGTGCCCAGATTCAAATTACTAGACCATCTCCTTCCAAAAACAGCAAATCCCCAGACATCTCTAGTATTCCGCAAGCTTACATAACACAGGTCACTGAAGTCAAATAAGTCTATTCCTTCTACACATCTTCTCTCCTGAGAAGTCCTTTCTTCCCTTTTCAACAACTGAAGAACAGGGTTTTACTAAGAAAAAGCAGATGTGGGCTTTTATGTGCTTGGAACAGTTCTCTGCTGTTTTCATTCCATGAATTTTCTCAAAGTATTCATGGATGACAGTGAGATGCCTTATAGACCTCTCATGTTATTTGTCACATTTTCATATCTAAGCATGCCAATCATTGTACCATAAGGCCAAGGTTCTTCACTTCTGCCCTTCTGTGACAGTGACTGCCACTGTCACTGTATTATAATAATGAGAGCTTGAGTTTCACTTGCACTTGCTCTAAGTTAGATATAGTGTTTGTACACTTATCTCATGTCTTGTTCAAAATTAAGCAGCTGATAACTGATGGAGCCTGGTTAGGTCTCTTTGACTGCAAAGTATATGTTCTTACCTACTGCATTATAAGGCATCACTAAAATGCCACACTATAAGGTATGTCTTTATGTATCTTATATGTATGTAGTCATATATATGTATACATGGACTATATGTATGCAAGTATGGATATATGCATGTAGTGTTTCATTTTAAACCATAAGTAACTTGAAGCAACTTAGAGTTCCTTTGTGTCCTGTACAATTTCTAATTTGGAAAGTGTATACATGAGAGTAATGTGTCTTGAAACCAAATCTGGATAGGAATGTGTGGTGAAAGGTCAATGACAAGGCTTAAACATGATCTCTGTGTCATAAAAGACTGTCTTTTTTGTAGTTTCCATGCTGTCCAACCCATATATACTGATTTTTCAAAAACCTGCATCAAAGGGAGTGTGGCCTATGACTAGTTGCTGTATGGCATTTATAGGATCATTTCCACATCTTCTGTACTATCATCCTGTTGCCTGGAACTATGCTCTGTGACTAACTAAATGACTGAACCACACTCTTCAGGAGGCATGTAGTTTCAGTGTGAATTTCAATTATGAAATTATTTTATGTCAGAAATAAAAATACTATCTGAAGATCACCTAAGGAAAAACTGAACAAAACATGCTCAGATGAGAAGTCAGATCCACTTCTTTCAACCCCACACACACACTCTGTATGACACAAAGCAAAATCCATGGTGACCAAAACAGCAGTGGACACTTGGCAGCATGGGAAGATGTCATCAAAACTCTATCATGTCGCTTCCACAGCAGCTAAACAGGCACCTAAGTCTCACTGGTTAGAAGCAGTGTGGCCCTCTCCAAGACAAAGTGCCACAGTCTAGGAGAAACAAGAGTTCTAATCAGACAAAAATCACTCCCCTTCCTGTCCAGCCCACTCAAAACACTGCTAAGAAAGTTCAAAATGTAGTTAGAAAAAGATTGAACCCATTTTGGATACAGCAATTGCCTCAATTTCATAGAATGCATTTTTCTCCTGTTTCACAAATACCAAAAAACCACTTTCAAACCTACAGCATGTGCGTGAATTCACATCTTTACATTCAAATACATTTACACACATAAATGTATGAACACACTTAATATTTATATAAAATACATGAAATAAAGTGTCAATGCTTTGATGTATTTAATTTCTGAATATCATATAGCAGACTTACATCCTCATTATTGTCTTATTTATTTGGAGCAATATTTATAGTTGATGATGGATTCTAATCACAACTGAAAAAACAGAGGAATCATGAAATACTATACACAAAGCACTATAGTTTGCATTAAATACATTACAATTTAACTTATATAAAAACATATCCTCTGAGGAAAACAAGAGATTAAAACTATAACTCTAACTGTACAGGGTTTTTTTGTATTTATTTATCTTTCAAAGGTAACTAAAGCTAAATACAATCTGAAAATTTCACAAACCAGTGAGGCATTACTATTGAAAGAGTACAGCAACTCTAAAGATAAATAAACATATGAAAAGCACATTATTAAAATCTAAATGAAAATAGAAAAGTAAATATACATAATTACCTTATTAAGGCTATATAACCAATTCAGAGATTTAAACTATCATTTTATAATGATGAGGTCACTGATTATTTTTGTCTGGGTCTTATATTACAGTCACTCATTCCATATGTTCAACAAATAACTGTTGCTCTGGGGAATGTGTTTGGACCTAAGAAAACACTGGAAAACAAAACAAACACGGACCCTGTCCTCACAGAGCTAACAGCCTAGCGGGGCCAGCAGATGAGAACACAGGCCCCTATGTCACAGCCACAGATGTGCTGTGTGGGGTAATCCCACCCCAGGGGAAGCAACAGCTAAGCTGAGACCTGAAGGATAATGGTGGAGAAGGGGAGGAGGTGGAAGGAGGATTCCGGGCAGAGGGAGAAGAAAATGCAAAGACCCTGAGGTGCGAGAAGGCACGGCCTATCCTAATAGTGGCTCCCAAACTAAGGGCCTCAGATACTTCTTGGGCCAGAATGAAATTTTCATTCTGTGGAGAGATGAAGACAGTTTGTTCTTTCAAAGCTAAAGTTGTTCGATTTTAATAATTGAGTTTAAGGCCGTCTTATTTTCTGGCATTAAAATGGCCCCTCTTTTATGAAATGACAATGATAGTAGATGAAGTATTTTTAAAAATATACAACCCTATTTTATAAATAAGCAAATCAAAAACTACTGGTGCATAAAATCTAAAAGTCTGGGAATTACTGTTCAAAGAATAAATTTAGTTCTAAAAGTGTTTGATAGGGTTGAAGGAGATAGGAGAAGGAGAAGTCAAGAGATAAGGCTGAGGAGGAAGGCAGGGAATTAGGTCATGAATGGCCACAGGAGAACTTTGGGCTTTTTTCTAAGAGCAGTGGAAATGATTTTCAACAGGGGAGTGAAACTCTCCTTATATTTGTAAAAGACCCCTCTGGGTTGTTATGTGTAGAATGTGTGTTGTATGGGGAAAGGCAGCTGGGAGGAAGGCCAGTTATGAAACACTAGAGTATCCCAGGAAAAGGGAGTAACAGCTAGAATTAGGGCCAAATCAATACAACTGAGTAGAAGACGACGACTTAAAGGGACAAACTTACCAAGGATTTGGTGACTTGTCATACTGGGTAAGGAAAATGGGATGATCAAGACTGATGTCCAGGCTTTTGCCTTGGGAAACTGGCTTTCAGTAGAGGATGTAGAAGAAGGCTTTGTGTGGAGGAAGGTGGCGAGTTCATTTTGAGACATGTTGAATTTGAGGTGCCTTTGTGTTCAAATGTCTACATAGGTCTCAAACAGATGAGAGAAGGAGCTGAACTTCGGATATAAATTTTACAGTCAGTAGCATATAAATAAAAATTGAAATTGTAGACATGGATGGATTCCCCAGAGAACACAGTATAAGAAGAGGGCTTAAGGCACATCCTAAGGGGCTGGCAGAGGCAGGGTGGTCAGGGAAGTAGGGGGAGAGCCGAGAGGCAGGTGCATGCAGACCAGGGGAGACAGCAGTTCAAGGAGCCAGCAGGCAGCAGTTCAGGTGCTGCAGGAATCAGCTGAAAGGACCAGAATGCTCACTGAGACTGGCAACAAGAAAGCTGTCAAGGATCTGGGATAACAGAGGGAGCAGGAGCCAGACTGCCCTGCGTGAATCTGAAGGCAGGAAAGAGCTTTTTTCACTCAAAGGGCCAGCAATTGGCTGGAGATGTGAGTTTGAGAAAGTGGTTCTTCGTAAAGGTCTTTAAAGATGTAAAATATGGTGTTCCCTTAAGAACACACTGTTTCAGTCATAAAATTGTTAATGGATTTAAATACATTTAAAGATGTAAAATGGTTCCAAGAAATTCTCTGAAGGAATCCTATTTCAAAATATTTTAGAAATCACATTTTAAAATACTATTTTTAAATTATGGCAATTTTAGCTCTCGTCCATAGAGATCATACTCTTTAAATAGTATGTATCTTTGAATGGGTGGTGGTAGATGGAGCTTCTTCATTGAGGCTGGTTGGCAGAGTCTCTGGAGTCCCATAAGTCTTCGAATTTTTAACCGGCACAAATGCTTTAATGAGCAAGGATTCTCTAGAATGATGGAAAAAACACACAGGCAAAAATAAAAACATTAGTGGATTGATGTGTTAGACACAGACTGTTTTAGAATAATATTAATAGTGTTATTCTGAAACACAGGTATGCACACATTAACAAATGGTAATTTTAAGCAGAATTAAAATTGTAAATAAGCATTCCAGACCATTCTTCTAGAATGTAAGCTCCACAAAGGTAGACATTTAGTCTGTCACTGTGTCAGGAAGAGAATCTGACTCGTAGCAGGTGTTCGACTAGAGTATGTTAAATGAATGAATGGACTTGATTTAAGAAAGCAAATGCTCACTTCTTCTATTTATGCTTTAGAATTGAGTATTGTAGAGATACATTTATTTCCTCTCTCTTCTACCAATCTTTCTGATGAATAATTACCTAAGAAACATCTGATACAAATGATTCCATATGTGATGATTCAGTCTTAGGCTTGTTTCAGTGTCTAACATCTAAACATTTTATATTAAAACAAAAAACATCTACTAATGTTACTCAAATACCTGATGCTAGTCTTTATTTTCAACTCTTCCCTTATCTACATTACAATTATAGTACTGATATATTATACTAGCAATATGAGCTAGTGAAAAGGCAGCAGAGCATAGGAACTTAGCTGTGGCTCTGGACTTGGCGTGAATTAAAATCCTGGCTCTGCCACTTAGTATTTGTGTGACCTTGGGTAAATTGCTTAACCTCTGTGATCTCAGTATACTGACCTGTGAAATGTGGATAACAATGGGACCCACTTCATAGGGTTGTTTGAACATCAAACAAGTTAATTCATGTAAAGTATGAGAAATGTGTGGGGCATTGTCACCACTCAATAACATGAACTATCATTCAGTTCAATAGTGAAAGACATTTCTGCTACATTTGATTATAAGCAACCAAATGATCTTTTCAAAAAAAAATTAAAACAATGTTTTTCAGAAATCGAAGCAAAATTACTATTACCAAAATAGGCAAAATAAACCCATCTTTAAAAAATTTACCATTTTTCTTTCCCTAACAAATATACTGCCTTACGTATACCTGGAGGAACCCTGACATCCAGTGGTTAACCATGATCACAGCAATGAACTGACAACAGTCTAGCTGCAATAATTTATAACTAAAACACCAAAAAAAACACCCTGGTCTTATTCTTACCTGGATTTTCTTTCTAAAGTCATAGAAATTGGTCATTATTTTGCAATAAAAATACATGGACAATTAATTGCCAGCTAGAAGCAAAATCCATTCTGCCTATGACAGGAAGTGCAGTGGACTGGAGAAGGTGATCTGAAGTGAGACCAACAGGGTTCAAACCCTTGCTTTGTTATTTTCTATGTCTATTCCTTGGGTAAATTACATTTTCTGAGACTTCAGGTTGTTTCCCCTTACAACCTCCAAAACATTTTAACCTTTTTATTGTAGAATAAATACAGACAGAACTACACATGGGTAGTTTCATAACTCAATGTTGGTGATTATTCGGTGAGCATCTTTAATCACCTCCCAGTTCAGGAATTGCACAATTTCCTTGGCCACCCCGGAATTTCCTCCACCATTCATCCCAATCTTTGTCCTTTCCTCCCCTGTAAGTAACCACTATTCTGCTTTGGTATTAATCACTTCCTTTAGAGCTTCATCATTTAACTGTGCTATTCCTACATTATAGCACTGACGATGTTGTTTTAAAATTTGACTATGTCCTTTGAGTCTCATTTACTCTGCAGACTCTTCTCTCCACCTCCTTCTTTTTCTTTCAGTTAATCTGTGAAGGACCAAAACACCCTGTAGTTTCCCAGAGCCTGAACTCTGCTGATTGTATTTTCACGGTGCCTCTATTTGTTGCAAATTAATAGCTGGGTCCAGAGTCTTGACCAGACTCAGGTTTGATTTCTTTCGCAAAACTGTAGCTGGTGCTGTGTTCTTTCATCGATGGCCACATAATGTGTCATTAGCAGCAGCTGATGCTCAGTGAGTACATGCATTAGCTTGCTGGGGGGCTGCAGAACAGTGATACCGAATTACATCATTTCTTTTTCAATTATTATTTGGAATATTTTTATAAACAGATGCTTTTAGTCATCTACTCTTTGGTTACTAGTGGTGCAAATCATACAGGAAGGTGGAAAAAATGCTTGGATATTTTCTTTTAGCAATTTTTAAGATAATGAATTGATTTTCTTAGCCTCTGGAGTTGAGCAATTTAAAAAAATATCATATTTATACAGTGGTTTCAGTTACTCACTGATTGCATCTTTCATTCTCAGAATAACAGTAATAATATTACTCCACCACCAAAATAATTTCTGGTATCTTTTAAAATGTTTTTGTGTGTGCTCTCCCACATTTTTGCCCCATTTAAAAATAGATGTGTCTTTATCTACATTATCTGACCACACAACCTTTACATATTCTATCTTCTCCCTTTTACCTCTCACTTAGTTGTGGTATTTTGTTTAATGTTCATGACTAGTCCTTATGTCACTATTTCTCCAGCCATTTTGGTTTGTCTGAAGCTCATAACTTAGTGGACACTTCAGAAGGCAGTCAGAGGAATGGTGTTGCCTGAGATAATCTGACATTTTTCCCTCATAAATTACTTGTTCTTTTTGCCCATTTGTCCAAAGGATATAGTGATCTGTAATTTGTAGTATCAAGTCTTTCTTTTTGTTATAGAGAGTTTTTCTTGAAACATAGGTTTTTGTATTTGTTGTGTTCCCTCAGTTTGGTTTTCCTTTTCAAGGAATCCTATTATTCATAGCTTCACTCCTCATTGCCTGTCTTCCATATCTGTCACTGTCTTTCTAATCCTTTTATTTATCCATTCATTTCTATTTTATTTAAAATTTTTATTTCATCTTCTTTTTCTTTTAAGATATTATCTATTGCTTTATTAGTTCTTGTTTTCATGTCACTCTTTATATTTGAAATTATTTTTTTTCTTTTTATTTCTAATTCTTTCCTCAGTTCTGTTACCTCATTTCTGAATTTTTCTAATTTCGACTTGTGTTATTCTTTCATTTCTTGTATCCTTTTCCTTATGCCTTTTAGCTTGTTTTGAAATAGAAGGTTTCAGTTTTAATCTGTTCTGAGTCTGGTGTGCTTGCAGTGGCTGTGGGTAAATTATTTTTCCTCTTTCTATTTTTTCTTATATTTGTATGAGATTGACTGTGATACTTTCCTGTTGCTCATTTTTATGTGGCTTTAGTTTTCCTGAACTTTTAAAAGGATGCTGGGTTCAAGAGAGCTCCTCTAACTTTGATCCAAAAGATGGTGGCTTTGGGTTCTGTTTCCCACGCCCACTTTTACGTGGATTTGCTCATGTGTCTGTCCTGCTTGATTCTGATTTTACTCCCAGTGTGGATTTCAGTTAATAAACAGAGGCCTGACAGGGCAGTTTCAAGGATTCATATAGTTCAAACAACTTTGCAATTGCCTTTAGCCATGTTTCGTATTTGTAAAAATAAGCATGATAGCTCCTAACTCTGCAAGCCGTGAAGATTTCACAATATGCTTTATGTATACACATTTCAGATACTGCACATAAACAAAAACAATATAAAAATACTAATAATTTAGTTTTATATAGCTAAATTTATTCTTTTTAATGTTGTAGACATTACGTAAGTGTCTTATCTTACATGTTCATCTCTTTAATTCCCTGCAACAACCTTATGAGGTAAATACTACCCTAGTCCCATTTCACAGTGGGAAAACCTTGGCATAAAAAGGATAAGTAGTTACACAGTTAATATGATGATCCTGGTCTTTTTAAAGGAAATAAAATATTCCCCTTCCCCTAATAAAACAAAAGGATATAATAAATTGTTGCTTGCTTCCATGAAAATATCAGCTCTGAATGACATATGCACCGTACAGCCTAGCAATCCTACATCTAGACAAGGTCAGAAGTTCATCCCATCCTAGGTCTGTCTGACCCCAGAGGTCAAGTTCTAGGCTCATAATACTACATTATTTACAAGATTCTCTAAGATTCTTGTTTTAGTTGCCATAAAGCCTCTCCTATTATAGAACTCATTGAAGAGCAAGAGCCATTTGAGGAAAATTCAAGATTACCTCCAAATATACACTAAGTTAAACTATCACTCTTTCTAGCCAAAGTCTTCATCCTTTCTACCAACCTACATTTCTTACTACCATGGTCAAAACTGTCCAAATTCAGATTAATTCATTTAATGTATGAGACTCTGCTTAGCTACAAACCTCTTATTACTCATATTTATCTTTTTATCAGAACCTTACACCTAACAAATATGAGACATAAAGCAATGCAACATTTTAGTTTGATCTTCTTGGCTGTCAAACATATTTACTGAATTTGCATAATGATCCTAAAGAACAGGCTGTTGTGATTTTGTTATCCCACTGAAAGCTGATTTAGGTGTATGAAGAGTATCAGAATGTTTAAATGTAATGTATAAAGTTTGATGATGCTTCTCTAAGGCTCCACAAAATTGATGTCCAGGTAGGTTTTGAAAGTTCAGTTTTCCAAATCATATTTTGAAAGAGAAAACCTCTGCAATTTATGTTTTTCTAGCTTCTATTTATTTGTATTTCAAGTAACTTTAGATGTATTTTTATTGAAATTTCTGTAATATAGTTCATTTTTATGATTGTAACTAAGCTTTAGAATATAAAATGGACTGCCTATAACACAAACTTTTGATGGCAGGAGTTTGTCTATAATGACTTGAGAGAGTGCATATCAAAAAGGATAATTCTAATTAATTCCATTCATTCATTTACTCAGTGTTTATTGAGTCTTCATGATTACAAGGTATTATGCTAAGCCGTGAGAATAAAAAAATAAAGTAGATCCCTGCCCAGGTGGCGATTACAGTCTACATACTTTATGATATTACAGAAGTCAACTTTTAAAATATGAATTCTAGTCAAAATGTTAGTAGAGCCATAGTATTACTCATTATACAATTAAACAGTTGGAAAGTACCGAGAAAGGCAAAACATCAGTATCATACATCAGAGGCATTAAACATGATCTAAAAAAACAGATAATTCTGAAAATAAAATAGCACTAAAATAGTATCAAAGATGATATTAAGAAACTTTCCCTATTTACATTTTTTATAAAAGTTTTTGTAGGTAAAACTTTTTTTTTACCTAGTATCTGACGGATTTCTGGCCATTGTCTCTGTACTTCTAGTGCAGACTTCAGTTTAGCACACAGAGGGATGTAATCCATATAATCTATTAATATACGAATAACGCTGCCCACCAAGTGTTTCATCCAAGGAACTGTAATAAACTCACAGAACTGAAAGAATTGATAAAATTTAATTTAGTAGTACTTTTAATATACTGTATACATAAACACTCAATTTTGTTATGAAAAAGTGCTCTTTGTCTTTTTACAGGAAATAAAGTACCCTCCTTATAATGAACAAGAAAAAATTAATTATTTGCTTGTGTCTGTGAAACTATGAGCACTGAAACTGTACACATGGCTCTGAAATGACTGTAATCAATGTAACAGGGAAGAATCATGCTTCTTTCCATGATTCTTCTTTGTTTTTCTAGCCCCATATTCCACCACATAAGCATAAACTGTTGTTTTCACAGCCTTCACTCAGTTTCCAATTCAAGAAAAATAAACAATCTTTTTCACCTTGTTTTATGCTTAAATCTCATGTCACCACAAACAAAACTTTCAAGAACAAGAAACATGTAACAGTTGGAGTTGATTTTTCTTTTCCTGTAACATCCCTAAAGAAGCAAAAGTTAGGATGATTCCCAGTAGGAAGAAGAAAAGGATGTCACTCACCGGGTTGTCTTTTATTACACAGGATGTCCATCCTGGCAGTACCTCTTCCTCTATCTCTGACCACACAAAGGAATTTCCAAAGATGTCCCCATGCGTGCAGTCAAAGCACATCTCCACTTGATAGCCATTATTCAGCAGCAGCCTCAGCATTACCTCGTCATTCAGGGCATACTGAATGGCACTGGGGAAGCGAGTGTCATTCACATGCATAAAATAACAATTGACATTAGCTCCATGGGAGAGAAGCAGCCGGACAATTTCATGGTTATTGGCCCTCACTGCCACAAGTAGACAGTTGAGGGGATCTAAGTTTGGGTCTGCACCTGCATCCAGAAGGACTTCTGTGCAATGGATATCATTATTACATACGGCAAAATAGAGTGCTGTCTTCCGCTCATCGTCATAGCTCTCAGAAATGTGGTCAGCAAGCAGGGTATTGACATCAAAGCCATTTTCAATAAGCAGTTCTAGGCACTGTACATTCTGTCCATCTGCTGCTGAGTGAATTGGTGTTAGGCCACTTTTCTGGATGGCATATTTGGATGTTACAGGGATGAGATACTTCAGTACACTAAAAAGAAAGTAAAATATCCACATGGCATGAAGAAAATAAAAAGTTAAACAAACCAGCTTCCTCACTAGACATGCAAACACAGTTTGTTTAGTTTTGCTTATTTCCTCCAGATAACCAAACACTTGTCCTTTGTCCATTTAGTTTAGGGTTAATTTAGCTTCCCACTCAAAATATACCTGGGAACAGACTACATCTTATATGTTTGGTCCTAGAACTGTGAGGAACCCTTCCCATCTGCCAATACTTTTCTGAACAACATATTTATAAACAACCAATGCTATTTAATGAAAAAAAAATCAAGGAAAAGCAAGCGCATCTGATGCCATAGAAGAATGCTTCATAGTCTTGACTATGAGACTAATGAGTCACGGGAAGTTAGAGCTGGAGGTGACCTTGGACATCACTTGTCCAACCCTTCTATTTAACAGAAGAGCAGTATGAAGTCTGGAGAGGTAAAACGACTTGTCCAAGGTCACACAGTTAAATGTGGAGCAAGGACTAGAATTTAGGCCTTTTGAATTCTCATTCGTTGCTCCTCTTCCTGCCTCTAAGCAATCTATGCTTTCATATTGGCCATGTAATTCCCATCTGCTTCTGTATAACTTGAAATTGAAATATTAGTCACAAGGAGAATTTTTATTATTCTATCAACCTTACATCAGTCCAACTGAGATAACTAACCATAGCTTATCTTTCTAAGCACCTGTGACAAATAGTTGTGAAGTTCACACTTGATCGAACTAGACATGTGAGAGCCACAGGCAAGGATAATTTGATCTTTTGTGCCTAATTCAGAGCAACCATGTGTGAATTTATGAACACTGGGAGTAAATCCACATAAACTTTAAAAATGTGTCACTTAGCATCAATTATGTCACCATTTAACAGCCAATGTGGCCACTGGAAGCTATAAAGCCTAACAAAGTTTTTGAACTTACAATACAAAATATTAATTGCCTGTAATTATCCTCTCATGGTGGGTAATTTAATATAGTGATTATAGACTTCTATTGATGTGTTGATTATGGCTCATTTTGTGATTTAAAAAAATCTGTCCATTTAAAAAAAATAATCTAAGCTTACAATGAAACTGTTCTATTCAAGGATTAATTTGACATTATACTGTAAAATTTGTCAGTGTTTGTACAAGTTGGAGTAATACTGATATTATTATCATAAATTTTATTCCTTTACCAAGGGCAAAATTTATAGAAACTCTGTAGTATTTTGTTTAAACACATTAAAAAACAAAAACAAAACCAGGAGGTCACACTTGGGTGGCTTGTGCAGTTCTCACTTATAACTTACTTCCTTCTAAAAGCAAATTCCTTTCATTAGAAAAGCAGTGGAAGTTGAATGTAGAAATTTTATGAAGCACAAGAATATAAAAAGGAGGGGGAAAAATCAAACAAATATTTAGATAAACATTTGGCCTAATATTTAGAAAACCTTGTGAACGTTTTGCCTTCGTCTTTTTGGATTTGGGGAGGTATAGTTAAGGAGACCTGAAATTTTACAGTATATACAATTTTGTATTTTTGACCATCCTATGATTTGTTACTCACAGGTAATGTCCCTCGTAGGCAGCGCGGTGTATAGGAAGGTGCCCTGTTCTGTTAGGTACGTTTCCACTTCCTCCATAATCCAGCAGGAGGGAAATGCAGTCAGGATTGCCCCCTCCTGCCGCCTCAAATAGCACCGATGCCCCATCGTCTGCCAAGGCAAACACGTCACCGCCTGGCGGGGAAAGCACGGGGCGCAGTGGTAAATGGACGGACTGTCAAGGTAGTCAGCTCAAAAATAACGTGTCGTTTTCCTTTCTGGGGAGGACTTTTAAAAGTATTAAATTAAGAACATCTGTGTTCTCAGTATTTTCAATAAGCAGTTAGGCAGCCGGTTTCATTTCATTAGAAACTCTTTGCATCACAGGAACACCTGAAAAATCAGCAATTCCAAGATAGACAAATGCTCCCAGGAAAAGGGACAGTTTTACTTCTCAAGTGAAAGACCACAGTTAACACTCTATTTCATTTCAACAAATATTTATCAATTGCCCCTTATGTGCAAATGCTGTTTGTGACCCAGCAGAAGATCCTAAAGTGAATAAGTCTGACTGCCTCATGGAGCTCAGAGGGGAAGTGAAACAAAACGTCATCGAAGAAGACAACCTGTATAACACAAATGGCATCAGGACTAGGCGGCATGGTGTAGGGGAGAGAGGTTTGTGTTTGGTTTCTGGCTCTGCTGCTGACTGTTCGGGGCAAGCTAGTTTTGTCTATGAAAACCTCCATCTCCTCCTGTGTACACTAGAGTAACACCCCTTGTTTCATATGGCTTATTGACAATAAAATGAGGTTGTATTTTGGGGCCTCAAAAATGCTAGTCTTTTCCTTATAGAGGATCTTTGGGGGTCATGTGGTCCCAGCCTTTATTTACAGATGAGGAAACTGAGGACAAGATGTTGAAGTAATTAGATTAGGGTCAAAGAGGTGGTAGAAACCAGTGTAAGAATTTGGTCTCAATTCTTGTTCTATTGTTGCATAAGGCACTTGCGGGGCTCAAAGGAGGTCGCATCAGAATCCATTGGGAGGATTAGGAAAGTCTTCAGGGAGGAGGTGTGCCAGAGATTGAATTATATGGGAGTACATTCTGGATGAGGGCAAGGACTGATCCAAACCCAGGCAGAGGGAACACAGAGTATATTGGGGGACACTGCTATGTCTAATTTGGCTGTAGTGCAGAATAAATGTTGATAGCAGTGAGGGATAAACCTAGAAAAATAGTTCAGGATGATGCAGTTGGGACCTGTGCATGCAGTTCAGTGGGCAGTAGGGAGGCACTGAGAATTTTTTGCATAGTTTACATGATCGTGGCTGTCCTTGAGGGAGAACAGCTGAGCTGCAGTATGTAATGTGGAGCCTCTGATGGGGAGACCGGAAGCTGGGAGAACAGGTAGGAAATGACTGCACTGGCTCAGGGCAGATGCAATGGGCCTGCCCTTGATGCAAACCAGAGGGACTGCCAGGGTGAGAACAGGTGACTGGACTTGGGGAAAAAAGGCAATGGAGGAATTAGAGGTAAATGTAAGCATTCAGTCTTTGTTGAGAGTAATCATTATATCCAGTGTGAAAGAAGAGGAATTCTGTTTAGGAGGAGACACGTGTGAGACTCTGGTGAGCCATCTCTGTGAAAATTGGGCTGGTGGACTCTAGAGAGAGCAGTCAGGGCTGGGCTTGCACATCTTTAGTCATGGTGTATGGGGTTTAACTGAGTCGTGGAATAGGGGGATACTGATGGGGCTGTCACGGGGCCAAGTACCAAAGCTTGATGCCATTACATTCCCTGGAGAAGAGGAGCCAGTGGGGAATGGAGGAAGGGGAATCCAAGAGGCAGGAGAAACACCAGGTACAGGCAATTGGTTTTCACGTACCTTTGTGGATTAAGTGCTCCAACACGTCACAGTGACCATGCTCAGCCGCAACACCTAATGGTGTGACTCCAAATCCATCTCTCAGGTGGACATTGCCTCCGTGTTTTAGTAGCAGAGCTATGATATCTTGGCGGCCTTGTTTGGCTGCTTCATGCATTGCTGACCATCGCTTGACACAGGGCTGATCAAGGCTGGCATTGTGTTTAAGCAGAGCTGACACCATGTCATAAGAGCCCTTTTTTACAGCTTGAAGATGGTTTTAGAAAGAACAGTTAATAGTAGGCCTATGAACATGAATACTTTAGATGCCATTAAACTGATTACCAAATTTGATATCAAAATAGATATTAACTATTCTCTTTTTTTCTTCAAGAGAATATTGTATTTTTCATACCCCTTCTACGTCTCAGACCCAAATTTGTGGTGTGGAGTGAAGCATGCAAGATGATACTGCCTTTTCTTTAAGATGCTGACTTGAGATGGAAAAAGTTTCATGGAAAACAGTGCACATCACTAAATAGGATATCATGTGTACTCTTTCTGAACTTGAATTTCTTCATCATCAAAATGAAAGTAACACCCACTGCTGGGTTGTATATATTAAAT